GATAACGTGCTGTTGCTCCCACACTCCGAAAAAAAGAAACAGAGGAAATTCCCTCAAAACAATCCAGAGAATGGCACACACCGAGCCGCGCATTCTCCACCAAATCTGTTAGGATTTAAGCAGACAGAGACGGATCGTGGTGTGCCAAACTCTGGAAGTTTATTTAAGTTTCTCTCAAGTTCCACTGGTTTCCTCTGTTACTTTCTCCCAGACAGAATAATAGGCCGTCTGCTGAGGCAGAAATTGCGTTGTTTCGTTCCAAGCTCGGGGCACTAAAATCTGAGCGGATCATGTGATAGCTTGTCTAACATACAGAACATAACCAAAGTTTTTCCATTCGAATTCCAGCAGTTATTGTACAGTTTGAAATCTTACGCCGGACTATTTCTCGTGTAAGGAGACGAAAAAGGTTGTAAACCGTCACTGCTCAGCCAATAGGAGACGCGTATTATCGAGCAGTTCCGGGCAAATCACTACGCAAAACGTAAACAAACATGGCGTGCGAGGTTACCTGTGGGTCGCCTCCCTTGCCGTCTGAGGTGAAAAAGGACGCTTTGCCGCTTTTGAAGTGCATCATGCACACAGATCCAGCCACAGTAAACCCCTGTGAACAACTCACGGAAGTCAGGTGGGATACCTTCCGCCGATGCGCCCGTGAATGGGACAGGACGAGCTTAGAGAGTCGGGAGACCGATATAGTCCGTGAGTGCCTTCCCTATCTTGATCAATCCTGGTCAGATATGCCCTCGAACTTCGGCTTTCACCCGACTTGCTACCGCCGTTTCATAAATAGGAAACGAATAAACAGTGCTCTGAAGCGTGCGGAAACCTCACAAACAATGAAGAGGCCAGCGTCTCAAGAAAACGTCAGTATGACGCCGAAAAGGACATGGAGGCTCCGATCAACAATCCCTCCCATGATGGCAACCTCGGAAAGAAATAAATCCTCACACGTGTTGCCCGTCATCTGCTTGATTTGCAGGAAGATTCATAAATACTTGACTCGTCAGGGCAAGAGGGTGCCAGACAAACTCGTCCAGACAGAAACGGAAAGTGCAGGTAAGCCTACTATGTTGATATAATATAGAAATATATTAACATATTGTACCAAATTTCGATGGATTCTGTTTGGTGTTCTTGTGATATACAAGGTTGGGAGGGGCCTACCTACAATCCAAGTACATATTGTGTAGTAATTATTTGTGAAGATCACTGTCTGTGAGTGGAGTGTGCTTTCAAACCAAGCAGACTTTGTATTTGTGTTTTCCTGTTAGTATACACCTGCAGGTCTGAAATAAAATGAAATGAATTACATTTTCAATACAAGTTGGCCTTATATGAATCTAGACCATTGACACATTGCATTGCTGGCAAATCATTTATTTAGGCAAACAGACTAATCTATAATATTATTGCATAGCTGTGAGGACTGCACGCCAGCATCATTATGTCATTAGTTGGCATACATGTACATTGTATGTCCATGTAGTGTCTTCATTGACTTATTCCTCACTGTTTAGTTGTTGCTCTGGCTGGGATGAAATAATTCATAACATAATTTAACTTGTCATTTCCAGGTCTACTCTATAAAGCAGCTGAGGCCAAAAGGGATGATTACATTCTCCATTACATCCGTGACAACGATTGTGTAGCCATAGAGGTTAAATACCATACATCTTGTTGTCGGGATTACACAAGATTCCTCAGCAAGAAGGAGAAGGATACGCAAAGGTAAATAAGCTCAATTCAAAATGTGATATGTGTAGGATCAAATCATTGAAAGGAATTCATAGCCACCTAATGAAGGTGCGAGCAACCAAAGTGAGCATTCGTGAGGACATCAAATTTATAGCATACAAATATTGTATATATTCCCATTTACCAGTACTCAGTTTGAGATCATGGTCGAATCATTGTTTCTCAAAGAAGTCTTGATATTATTGGCTCAAAGAGTGAATGCAACAGTGGTGCAAAGACAAATCTTATTGTTGCTAATTAACACAAAATATGTATCTTTATTTCTGGTATTGTCATTACAGGCCTCAGTCCACCAAGCAGCAATACAGCCGCAGCTATAATACTTTCTGTGATGGGGTTGTCCGTGGAAGGATCATCCATGGTCGAGAAATCCTCCGAATGAAAACGCTTCTGGATTTGTTTGTGAAGACTGTCCAGAAAGAAGAAGCCATCACTCTTAAAGACTATAGGTATGTGAAAGTAACCAGATATGACAGTGTCTACACATTACATCCCTCTCACCAAGGATATGCAAATAATACACATTCCCACATCCATATTTAACCATATCTTATCGGTGCTGGTGGAAATTGCAGTGACATGAGCACCTATTCTCAGGGAGCAGTAATAATAATCATAATGCATCTGTTTCGTCTAGAGCTTTTCCGAAACCCAAAAACGCTTCACATTAAATTCTTTCACTTCATGCACAGTGATTATAAACTACTACAGACAGAAGCATTAGTACATTCATATATTTGGAAGTAACTGTGTATGTACATGTAATTTAAATTGCCATTCTTAATAAATAAATGTACTTACACTTGATCACACTTCAACAGTTTAGATTATTTCTTTCCGCCTTTGGCTACCCACTTCAATATTCAAGTTTCGAAACTATTATCAATTTGTTTCCCCCAATATGTAATACGAAAGATTTGTGCAAATAATGAATGTATAAAACATGTGCTGCTGGAAGTCTCACAATATTCTTCATTCGATTTCACAATTTTCAAATGTCTCACAAAATCGACTCTTTTAAAAGGTGATTACTTGCCTAAATTCGTTTTATTGCCCAGCCCTAACTCGAACAGTCTGCAGCACTTGCCTTTCTTGCTTTGACTTATATTGACCTGAATAATGCAATATCTAATATATTCAAAAATGTGTACTAATATATTACATTCTATCTATTCATGTCTTCATGGCAGTATCAGCTGAAATATCACCTGCGTCAGGATTTCCCACAACTCAACTTCCACAAGCCATCCAAAAGAAATACAAGTGAAATTGTATTCACAGACACCTTGGGAGCAAGTGATCTCCTGGAACACCTACCATGTGGCCCAACATCCAGTACAGAGTCAAGCGACTCTGAGCAGACAACTGAATCAGGTGAAAATGTTCCAGACAGTCAGGACATTCCTGGTCATGTTCACCTAGAATACACTCGGACATTATATAGTGCAGGTCTCATCGTGCATCAATCTGTTAAGGACTCTCCTGGAATGGCTGCACAGTGGCCACCTACCGCTTGTGATTTTACTATTGATAAAGCTAATGCTATTGTTCCACTCGAGTTATATAACCTCATTGCATGGTGTACTGGTTCCTCAAATGAACCACTGCTTGATTGTAAAGTTTCTGTCCCTGAAAATGTTCATTGCCAATTGTTGTCTATCTGTCAGGATATAATATATCTGACTTTTAAAGGCCGAAAAGCAACTCCCAAATCATTATCTGTAGGTCTTCGGCTGTTCGAAATCTCATGGGTCATCTCGGGTTTTGCAAATGCTCAACCATCTTGGTCACTGTGCATCTCCGGATACAATCATTGGCTTTGAGACAGGGCTATAGCACAACTACAGTTGACTTACTAGAGAGGGTGATTCCAAGTAAATAAAGCAGGGCTTTAGCGACAGAGGTACAGATTCAACGTCATATCAACGTCTGGGAAGACATTGCTTTACGTCCAGATGCACACCTTACGTCGTTTAGACGTGGAAAACAGGTCCTCGACCGAGCGACTCACGTGTCAGGCTGTTAAGTTATAAGTTATACTCGCGCGGCGCATAAGTGTGCGTCGGTTGTTTAGGGTGTTATCTATTATGTTTTCACAGTAGTCAGAAAAAAATGCCTGGCCGTGGTGTAGCGGTTGCGTAATGAAACTTCAGTCGCAACGATGCGGGTTCAAATCCCCGTTGGAAAACTTTTGACTTTTCACTTTTTAGCGAACAATTTTTCTGTTTGGTTAAAAACGAATAAACACTCAACATAAGATTATGTAGTGGCTAATAATAAAACTTGTGAACCCATGCATTTGCATAAAATCTCAAGTGCTCACCCCTTATTTGCAAACTTGAGATTGTTAGCACAACAAATGCATACATTCACAAGTTTTATTATTAGCCACTACGTAATCCTATGTTGAGTGTTTATTAGTCTTTAACCAAACAGGAAAAAATTGTTCGTTAAAAATCAAAACAAATATATAAAGATAATAATACACACACGTGGGCTCGAACCCACTTAACCAAGACTGCACACGTTTGCTTAACCACTACACTAACGTCAGGTTCACTTATATTGCTTCACAGCCTATATATTGTATTGCTAGATCAAGACGTACTGCGTCGGTCGGCCGATGACCTGTTTTCGACGTCTAGGGGAGGTCGGGATTGAACGTCATATCCACGTATATGGGAGGTCATTGTTTTACGTCCAGATGCGCACCTTGCACAGACGTCGTTTGGACGTAAATAAAAGGTCACGACCGACCGACGCGATATTGACGTGATCTGGAGGTTGAGTGGACGTCGGATGTTTAGTGGGCTCAGTCTTCGTCTGGTCTAAAATGTACTGGTGGCTGTCCCAAGTTTGATCTGCCCGAGCGCCGTGGGCTCGGAGCTGGCGGGTTTACAGGTGGGTTTACAGGTGGGTTTACAGGTGGGTTTAAAAATAAATAGTATGGGGACTGGTTAGGCACATTCTGCTCTATGGGAGTTTCTGGAGTCCGCTCAGTGGCTTTGTTTACAGGACCAATACAGGGTTTAAGGGAATTTCTGTGCATGGTCTTCTCTCTACCCCCTCTTTCGGGCCTGATTTTATAGACCAACCCAGTACCTCCCAATAACTCCAAGACAACATGGGGCTCAGGATCCCACCCCGTGTGCAGCTTGCCTTGTCCCTTCCTATTCCTACCTCTCACCCACTCTTTCGGGCCTGATGGTAAGGCATGGGCCCTTCTGTCATAGGTTTGTTTATTATGTTCTGCGGCTTTCTCCAGTATGGATGCGATGTTGGACCAGGTGAGTCCTCCCGAAATCCTCCTCATCTGACGCAAAAACCTTCATCCACTTCTCCAGGAGTGAGCGGAGCTCGGACTGCTGTTGTGGCGTTAAGCATGTTGAATCAATGAGTTTGCTCACCTCCTCGTTTTGGGTTTCTCTCTGGGCTCCGGGTGTCCACCATGCCAACTTCCACAACACCATCTGGACCCATGGTCAGGCTCAGGTCACGGGCTCCCTGGACGTCAGCCTCCTCCACCTGGTATAACCTGCCCAGGTTTTGATAGCGCCCTATCGAAACTGGGTAAGGGTGGAGGTTGCAGACGCGAACACGCCCATTTTTAACCACGGCAAGGGTTCTGGCTACTCCCCATGCCTCTGCGTCGGGCATAGCCTCCAGTACAGCAGAGTAATCTTTCCCACCCGGCCCAGTACAGGTGCGACCCCACACAATAAGTTCACTCTTAGGAGGTACCCAATAAAATGTCAACTTTTCTAGGTTCAGCCAAATCTTGAGAGTTTAGAATACCAGATATTTGTTCCTTCCAGTCCCCATTCTTCACATCACTGTTAGGACCTTGGAATTTTGGCAGCCAAGGAGCTCTAGGATACACTGGCATCATCATCATCATCTTAAAAAAATAAAACTTTAAAAACAATAAAACAGTAATAAAATGTTAAAAAGAAGTCTTTGGTTATACACTGCTCAAGCTTGAATCCTGCCACGCAACGCCAAAATAGATGTGGCCGAGTAGCATATAAAAAGGGAAAGCAACGCCACCTAGTTTTAAAAATGAGACTAGGACTCAATAAAGGAAGGTTCTTAAAAACAAGGTGAGCAGTGTAAAAACCAGAGTTTTAAAAGGGATAAAACAATTTATTACAAATAAAATTACAGAATAAAATACTAAAAATATAAAAGCAAAGTCCAGTTAAAAGTCCAGTAAGGACAGGGGCAACTCCGCGTTCCCAAGGCAGCAGACCTAAAACCAGAGGAGCAGGAGGCAGTAAAACGTTCTTTTTAAAAATAGAAATCTGTAGGTTAAAAGTGGGATGAATCCCGGCCAGAGCACTAAAGGTCACTTACGTGCACGGGCAGAGAAACTCTGCCCGCTGCGGTGATGTCACGTCGTGCTCTGGCTCCGCATGAGGGAATGGCTGGCCAGGCCTCTCCCTGAAACAAAAACGGGTCTCCCACAGTAAAACTCCTTAAAAACAGATTTCTATCGGCCAGCAGCAGCCGTATGCCCGACCAGAGCACTACAATGTTACTTACAGGCACGGGCAGAGAGACTCTGCCCGCTGCGTGTAGTCCGCGTCGCGCTCTGGCTTTCCGTGGGTCCTGTGCAGGTACTGCTGACTGCTGCTGCCGTTCTCCGTTGCCTCCTCTCCTCGGTCGCCCAAGACGCCCTGTCGTCAACCTGTGTTCTCTCCGGCCCGGGACGGGGCCGCCGTCTCGCCAGCCACTTGCCGCCCACAGGTTGCCACTGGGCACACGCAGGGGAGAGCGGGCACATTCCATTCATGATGTTGGGCCTAGCCCGGTGCACACACGCCTCTCTGCGCTTTCAATGCGCGCCCATCACCGGTGCCGTTCTCCCCGCTGGCCTCAGTCCCCCGTGGTCTCTGGCTGGCGGTGCCCCTCCTTTGGCCCAGTCCGGTGTCCTCCTGCTTCTTCCTCCCCCATAGTCTGTTTAAAAACCCTTTTCTCATTGGCTCCAGCCCCCAGTGTCTATGTCCATTTGTTAAAATCAGTGGAAGCTGCCACAGGTGTGAGGATAAAAAACAGGAAGTAAAAACACACAGTGCGGCACACAAAACACATTTCAAAATAAAAGCATGCATAAAAACAAAGTGCGCTGTGCGTCTAACCTGTGACAGTCTCTCTCTAGTCTCTCTCTCTGGTCTCTCTCTCTGGTCTCTCTCAGATTCAGATTCAGTTTATTTGCCATTTGCAGAAAAAAACCCACATTGGAATACCTTTGCAAAAGTCACCAGTGTGCACAGACAAATACAGACATAACACAACATTAAAGTACAGAAGTAAATAAAACCGTAAACAATTGTCACTGAGAAAAACGATTTGACTAAAACAGTTTCAATACAAAGTGCAAGAACATTAAAGTTCAGACTGATAACAGCTTGTGGGAAGAAGTTGTCAGCATGTCGAGATGTCCTGAATCTCAGAGAACGATATCTTCTGCCAGAGGGAAGAAGCTGGAACATGGCTTTCCCAGGGTGGCCAGAAGAGTCATTGACAATCCTAAGAGCTCTGTTTAAAAGTCTGGATTTATAAAGAACCTCCAGAACAGGAAGCCCACGCTTCCTGCGCGGGCAGGCCCACGGTCCTCTTTGCAGAGCGGAGCACCTTGTTTAAAGCTCTCTTTTCTTTATCTGTGATGTTTCCAAACCACACAGACACAGAACCAGCAAGTAAACTCTCAATGGTGCAGCGATAAAAGTTAAGCAGAATCTTAGAGTTAGTGGTAAATTCTCTAAGTTTACGCAGAAAGTACAGACGCTGACGAGCTTTCTTAACGACTCGGTCAGTGTTTTTAACCCATTTCAGGTCGTTAGACAGAGTTAGACCCAGAAACGTGCACTCCTCTACAATCTGCACTTGGGAGTTATCGATAACAACAGGAGTGTGGGAACTGTTACGACTGAAGTCAAAGACCAGCTCACATGTTTTCGATGCGTTCAACTGGAGGTTGTTAGTTTTACTCCACTGAACCACATTTTGGATCTCTGCTCTATAAGAAGATTCATCATTGTTACTGATGAGACCGATGATGAAAGAGGGATGACTCAAAATACATCCCTGAGGAGATCCGGTGCTCACAGAAACAACATCAGAAAAACAATCATTGATTTTTACTCTCTGAGATCTGTCAGATAAAAAGCTAAAAATCCATTTACACATGGCAACACTAAACCGAGAGACATGAGCTTTTCAATCAGTTTACCTGGGACAAGGCAGTTAAAAGCAGAGCTATAATCGATGAAAAGCATTCTCGCGACAGATTTACTAGTGTCCAAGTGACTGTAGACAGAGTTCAGAGCAAAGGAGATGGCATCCTCCACACTCCTGTTCTGTCTGTAAGCAAACTGGAGCGGGTCAACACTCACAGGGATCTGGCTCTTAATGGAGTCCAGCACAAGCAGCTCAAAAGTTTTCATAAGAACAGACGTGAGGGCCACAGGACGATAGTCATTCAGGCATGTCACAGGAGTTTTCTTAGGACTGGAATGACGGTCGACTCTTTAAAGCAGTTCGGCACAGTACAGTTCCTTAGCGACAGGTTGAAAATGTCTGTTAGCACAGGGGCAAGTTGCTCAGAGCACAGTTTCAGGACGAGGAGGGACGCCGTCCGGGCCTGGGGCTTTCCGGACTGTGGTCCTGGACAAGACACGCCTGACATCCTCCTGAGTCACGGTGAAGGCAACTTGATTGAAACACTCAGGGAATACAGTAGGACAGGCATCAGCGGATTCAAAGCGACAGTAGAACGTGTTCAGCTCGTTTGGCAGAGCTTGGCCGACAGATGCAATTTTCCCAGCACTAGGTTTCCACGATGTGATGGCTTTAATACCGTTCCACATGCGCCGAGGGTCATCTTCCTCAAAATAACTCTTTAACCTGTCCCCGTAACTGCGCTTTGCAGATTTAATAGAGCGTTTCAATGAGTAACAGGATAACTTATAAGCAACTGTATCATTTGATTGAAACGCCAACGCACGCTCATGAAGTTTCAGTTTTACTTCCACGTTCATCCAAGGGTTTTGACTAAAATGTTCTTTAATGACCTTCTGTGGGACACAGCAGTCAATACAGAAGCGTATGTATCCAGACACAGCGTCACAGAATTCGTTAACAACCTCTGGTCTCTCTCTCTGGTCTCTCTATGGTCTCTCTCTGGTCTCTCTATGGTCTCTCTCTCTGTGTTGTCACTTGGGGAAAGTCTATGTATTGATTGTAAATGACTGTTGCAGGAGAGTGCTCTGTGATGGGGATCCCCAGTGTGACCACAAACCTCTCTGGGTTCGGCTGCTTCATGGAGGAGCACGTGTCCGACCCCTCTGCGTACGGTAAGGCTCACTATGGTCTCTCTCTGGTCTCTCTCTGATCTGTCTTTGGTCGCTCTCGCTATTCTCTCGCTCTGTCCTGTGTTTCTTGTCTCTGTACTAGTTTCTCTCCCTGTACTCTCTCTCTGGTCTCTCTCCCTGTACTCTCTCTCTGATCTAAAATGGTTGTGTTAATAGTATTTGTGGATTCATATCTCGCTCATCACAGACTGGAAGCACTTATAATTAGAGTAAATGGATCATCCACGGCCAAAACTACAGAGCCGGGGGCAGAGAAGACGAGGGAGGGAGAGAGTAGGGAGTTTGGAGGGGGTGAGGAGGGAGTATGGAGGGGGTGAATAGGGTCACCGTGAGTCCTGTTATCAGACTTCAGCCTTGGTCAATGGAATGGTGATGGAAGATTGAATCAATCACACCAGACATTTGTGTGTCTCTCTATTTGTGTGTGTGTGTGTGTGTGTGTGTGTGTGTGTGTGTGTGTGTATCTCTGTGTGCGTGTGTGTGTTTGTGTGTGTCTCTGTGTGTGTGTGTCTGTGTGTGTCTCTGTGTGTGTGTGTGTGTGTGTATCTCTGTGTGCGTGTGTGTGTGGGTGTGTGTGTGTATGCATGTGTGTGTGTCTCTGTGTCTGTGTGTGTGTCTGTATGTGTGTCTCTGTGTGTGTGTGTGTGTGTCTGTATGTGTGTCTCTGTGTCTGTGTGTGTGTCTGTGTGTGTGTCTCTGTGTGTGTGTGTGTCTGTATGTGTGTCTCTGTGTCTGTGTGTGTGTGTCTGTATGTGTGTCTCTGTCTCTCTGTGTGTGTCTCTGTGTGTGTTGCAGGGATCTACATTGTGGACCGGCGCTTCAGGTCTGCAGACGACTCGTGTAACCAGTTGACCCAGTTCATGTTGAGCTTCTGTGGACAGTCTCGACGCCAGAGGATCATCCAGAGGAACCGCACTGAGCGCCTGTCCGAGCTGCTGGACTGGAGATACCTGGCCCGGGTCAGTCCTGCTGCAGATCGGACCTAGACCAGACCTAGACCTGCTTTAGTCTCTGCTTTAGTCATGTTTTAGTCATGCTTAAGGTTCGTCCTGGTTTAGACCTGGTTTAGACCTGGTTTACACCTGCTTTAGACCTGCTTTAGACCTGCTTTAGACCTGCTTTAGACGTGGTTTACACCTGCTTTAGACCTGGTTCACACCTGCTTTAGACCTGGTTTAGGCCTGGTTTACACCTGCTTTAGACCTGCTTTAGACCTGGTTTACACCTGCTTTAGACCTGCTTTTCTTTGTGATATTGCTGCAGTTCTATAGTCACTCGCGGCACCTGGCCCTCAGCAGAGCTTTCCCAGACCAGTTCAGAGCGGATCCAGTGGCTTCTCTCCAGGTACACACACACACACATAAACACACGCTAGCACACACACACACACGCACACACACTGACCTGTCCCGTGTCTCCCCAGGCTGAAGGCTTCCGTTACCCCAGACCGTACTCTGTGCCCCCCTCCCCCTCTGCCTCCCTCCACTCCACCCCCCACCACAGCGACGAGGAAGAGGAGGAGGACTACGACGAAGACCTGGAGGCCGAGAAGGACCGCGTGAACATCCGAGCGCCCTTTGTGCTCGGCTCTGCGTCCGACCACAACTGACAGACCTCTGTGTGTCCTGAATGTTTCAGTCCAGAGTTAGACCTGCTTTAGTCCTGCTTTAGTCTTGCTATTAGTCTTGCTTTAGTCTTGCTTTTGTCCTGCTTTAGACCTGCTTTAGTCCTGCTTTAGTCCTGCTTTAGACATGCTTTAGTCCTGATTTAGACCTGCTTTAGTCCTGATTTAGTCCTGCTTTAGACCTGCTTTAGACCTGCTTTAGTCTCATTCATTAAATACATTATTTGTGGAAACAGTTTCTGTGGTCTTTGTGTGATTCTGAGATCCCGGAGTTGAGGTTCTGGAAACATGGACTTTCTCGGTCCTGTAGCAGTGTGATGTCATCGTACCGCAGATGACATCACACTCGTTTGGGTCATTTCTCAGGTTTACAATCACAGGTCTGCGTTTACAGCTCCCTCTGGTGGTAGCGCAATGAGTTACAGGCAGAACGCATTTTTCTAACCCCCTCTCTGGTCTCTCTCTCTGGTCTCTCTCTCTGGTCTCTCTCTCTGGTCAAGTTTATAGTATTTGTTTCATTAAATAAAGATGAGAACCATGTGGTAACAACTGTTTATTTAAATGAAGGTTCAGAAGTACTGTCTCTTCCACAACGGCAGCTCCTGTAGGTACAGCTCTGCAGGCAGCTCCTCGACTACACACACAGACACAAAACTGTTGGGGGTCCTCACAAAAACTTGCAGTATGGTGTACTGACACATCATATATTAAATATGATGTGTGTGTGTGTCTACCTCCTTGTCCTGCCTGTTGCAGCAGGTTGAGCAGGATGCTGGAGGCTTCATCATCGTTCATTTTCTCTGTGTCCTGACTCCGGGTCTCTGCAGGAGAGAGACACAACTGGGTCAAAACAGCCCACACGCAACCTACACGCAACCCACACACAACTGGGTCAAAACAACCCACACACAACTCAGGAACCCTCTGCCTTAAAGCTCGGGGACTTGAGTTACAATTTCTTATCATTACAAATTGTTTTGTGGATTTGTATATAATAACATAGAAAAGCAGCTCTCTCTGGTCTCTCTCTCTGGTCTCTATGGTTCTCGTCTGGCTGAGGCCACTCACCTAAATGCAGCGTGTCAAAGACGTCTTCTTTATGGTCATCAGAAATAAAACGGCGCCCCTCTGTGAACAAATACAGAACAGAAATCCTTGATTACTCCCTTGTCTCTTACTGGTCTCTCTCTCACTGGTCTCTTACTGGTCTCTCTCACACTGGTCTCTTACTGATCTCTCTCTCAGTGGTTTCTTACTGGTATCTCTCTCACTGGTCTCTCTCTGGTCTTTCTGGTCTCTCTGGTCTCTCTCTGGTCTCTCTGGTCTCTCTGGTCTCTCACTGGTCTCTCACTGGTCTCTCTGGTCTCTCTAGTCTCTCACTGGTCTCTCACTGGTCTCTCTCTGGTCTCTCTCTGGTCTCTCTCTGGTCTCTCTCTGGTCTCTCAATGGTATCACTGGTCTCTCTCTGGTCTCTCTCTGGTCTCTTTCTGGTCTCTTTCTGGTCTCTCTCTGGTCTCTCTGGTCTCTCTGGTCTCTGGTCTCTCTGGTCTCTCTGGTCTCTGGTCTCTCTGGTCTCTCTGGTCTCTCTTGTCTATGGTCTCTCACTTACGGGTCCCTTTAAGGTAGAGCATGGCCTGTGGAGTCCAGTTTCTCCTCTGGAAGTTCTGGACAAAAACAAACATAGCCTCAGGTCAACACTGAATCCATGTGACGTCACAACATACAACATGTGTGACATCAGTGTTAGCTTTAATGCTAACCCCCTCCACCACCATCTCCACCATCACCTCCACCATCACCACCTCCAACACCTCCACCAACACCTCCACCATCTCCACCATCACCACCACCTCCACCACCTCCACCACCACCATCACCATCACCACCACCACCACCTCCACCACATCCACCACCACCACCACCTCCACCACCTCCAACACCTCCACCACCACCTCCACCACATCCACCGCCACCACCTCCAACACCTCCACCACCACCTCCACCACCTCCACCTCCACCACCTCCACCTCCACCACCTCCACCTCCACCATCACCATCACCACCACCACCTCCACCACCTCCACCTCCACCACCTCCACCTCCACCACCTCCACCTCCACCATCACCTCCACCACCACCACCACCACCTCCAAAACCTCCAGCACCACCTCGACCACCATCACCACCCCCTACACCACCTCCACCATCACCAGCACCTACACCACCTCCACCATCACCACCACCTCCAGTAGCAGCAGTAGCAGTGGCAGTAGGAGTTTACCTTGGGCGCGCAGTAGCAGTAGGACACACACAGCAGGAGTGCCGTCAGGGCAGACGTGGCTGCGATCTTCCTCAAACCCTGAGCGGGAAGGAAACACTTGTTTATTGTATTATTTTAGCTGTATTGTTATGACACACACACACACACACAACACACATAGTTTAGGGGTGTACAAAAATACATTGAATTGAATTAACTGACAAAGAAGCGCAGCACTATTCTGCACAAGGATTTACCAACATTCATATTGTTTTAAAAGTCCCTCCCCTTTGGCGGAACAGCGACCAGTAAGATTTGCTGGAGGAGAACAGTTAAACCAATGACGTGGGGCCTCAAGGATTTGAATCAATGTCGACCAATCAGGAAGCAGTGAGGGGGGGCTGGTGGGTGGGTCTAAGCAGGGCTCGCTCTTCACTCTGAATACAGGTGAAACTCACGGTCATTTTGCCTGGTCCTGAAGCCGGACTCTGGCGCTGGTCTTGGGTCTGGGGTCTGGGGTCCTAAAGCTGGGAACTTGTCCTGGGTCTTGGCTCCTGAAACACAGATGCGCAGCAGTTAGATCTTGTGTTTCACCTCCAGGCCATTCTGTGAGGAGTTTGCATGTTCTCCCTGCAGGGCCGGAGTGGGACAACATTTCAGGCCGGGAGCTTTTCATCCATTCAGGCCAAACAAGGTTCTAAATTTGTGTTTTTGTCATTGTATTTTGATGTTCTTTTAATAGTTTTAAGATTGACTGTCAAAACTTTTGTTTTCTTTATTTTTTTTAATATTGACTGTTTATATAATCTCGGACGTTTAAGGATTGTTGTACGTTGCTTAGCAACGTAACGTTTATGGAGTTTAGTGAGAATAAAGACACACACACACACACACACACACAATGAACTAAGTGTTCATTAGTGTATAACTATAACAAGCTAATCAATTATTGTTAAAAAAGTAGTAAGGTAAAATCACATCGTTACAGCTCATATAAAAGGACAAATAACAACGTGTATGAACCATCAGTTGGAGAGACCACTCATTTCAACCGGGGAAGCTACACTGGGTGCACTGCTAGGCTGGCCTGGCTGTGTAGCCAACGTGTGACGTCACATTTGTTTAATTTTGCTCTGGCCCAATGACAGTAAAGCTTTGGCCAGTGTTGTGCCAGTTCACAGCTTTTCTGAACTAGTTCAAGTTCAGTTCATACATGCTCAAAGTGAACAGTTCACGTTCGAAGTTCTCAATTTTAATTCTGAACTAGTTCAAAGTTCAGTTCATTTTACTTTTTGCGAGATATTCAAATAAATATTTTTTTTCACTACGAGCTAGAAATCACAATACGTGGTATATATATATATATATATATATATATTATATCCTGTACACTGCACAGGATGTTTTGACTCCAATGCAGACAAGATTTACATGGGTTTCAATGGGAACTGAGTTGTCCCATCTCTGCTCATAAGTACAAACTGTAATGCGCTGCAGAACGTGTGTCTATACTTTATGTCAAATGTAAACGGCCCTGTGTCACTGACTTACCCCTGTGTTTTCATCACGGCACATGTGAGTCCAACAACCAATGAATATCACTAGCATATAGCGCCGCACCGCAAGTACACTGAGTCGGGGTGCGTTCACAGACGGTGGAAACCGTAGGAATTTTTAGTTTTCAGTGCGGAGAATACAGGAGGGAGGAACTTTCTCTCGTTGCGTTTCAAAAGAGAAAACAGATTTCACTCAGTTTTAAATGGAAAACAAATTGTCTGCCGTTCATGACACATAATATGAACTAATTCACGTTCAAGTTCTTTATTAAAAAATGTGTTGCGTTCAGTTCAACGTTCACGAAAAAATGAGCGTGTTCAATGAACGCGTTCTTTTGAACTCGTTCACGCACAACACTGGCTTTGGCCTGGGCCTTGCTCATTGGACCAGGCCACCAGGCAGGGTAGGAGTTTGCAAAGACCGTGAGGATGAAATAAAATTAAAAGAAAAAAAAAACAAAACAAAAAAAAAAAGAAAAAAAGACCGTGATGATAGGGCAGGCCCAGGCCACTTTGACACGCAGGCCACCGGGAGATCTCCCGATGCTCCCGATGGCCAGTCCGGGCCAGTCTCCCTGTGTCTGCGTAGGTTTCCTCCAGGTGCTCGCGTTTCTCCTCCCACAAAAAACGTGTGTAAAAGTTTTTAATGTGCTGAGAGTGAATGGCTGCACAGGGTTGGCGTCAGAAGAGGACTTACTTACTAACGCTGGGGACTGGTCCTGGGTCTTGGGTCCTAAAGCTGGGGACTGGTCCTGGGTCTTGGGTCCTGAAGCTGGGCACTGGTCCTGGGTCTTGCCTGCTGTGGCTGTGGATCCTGGTCCTGAAGCTGGTCTTGGGTCCTGGGCTCTGCTGGGGTCTGGGGTCCGGTCTTTATACCCCTCTGGTCTGCTTATTCATGAGGCCACGGACCCATAGGTCAGACCAATCTGACGAAGTGTCAGAGGCGAGCGGACGATCGATGTGGAGCAAAAATACGCTGAACTTTCACAAACACTGGATCTTTGCTGATTTACAAATAATAATGAGGCTGTTTCTTTTGTGTTTTAGAATGAAAATAATACAATTATATATACATGTATGTGTATGTGTGAGTGTGTGTGAGTGTGAGTGTGTGTTTGTGTGTGTCTCTCTGTGTGTGTGTGTGTCTCTGTGTGTGTGTGAGTGTCTGTGTGTGCGTGTATGACTCACTATAGTCATAGAAAATGTCAAATAAGGCCGCACATCCCTGTAATCTGAGCTGGCGTGCTGGATTAAAAAATGCAAGACGTAGAAAACAGTGAAAAATAATCCGCACAGCTATGTAGCTCCCAAAAACAGTGTAATTTATTTACATACCACACAAAATAGTAACGTACACAACATAGTAAATAGTAAGTAATGGATGGATGGATGGATGGATGTTTTTGGGAGCTACATAGCTGTGCGGATTATTTTTCACTGTTTTCACTATAGTCATACACACACTGTATTATTATTGTATTATTATTGTATAGCGCTTCCAAAAAAGCGCTATACAAGTTTGATGTATTATTATTATTAGGCCCGAGCCCTGAACGGGATAAGGGTCTATTGCTTTCACAATAATGAATGCAAATGGTGGCGGTGCGTGACGGACGCTGACGGTTGCGTGCATAAACTCAAACGCTTTAAAATTATGTATCACGTGCCATGGAAACCTATATTGTTTTTGCTCGAGACGTAGAAAAAAAGATCTTTGTTTATTTATTTATTTATTTATTAGGCCCGAGCCCCGAACGGGGAAAGGGCCTATTGTTTTTGCTCGAGAGATGTCAAATTCTGCACTTTGAGCCTTAATTTCACCCCCTGAACATGTATGAAAAGTTGTAAAATTTTGCCCAAACAACAGACCTGGTGAAAAATTTGATATTTTGGTGTTTATTTTTATGGGACTCAAAAAATGCCAGAACAGCGCCACCTAAAACAGCCAATGGGAGTTTCAGAGGTCAAGTTTGTCGTAGAGCCATGAAATTCGGTACACATGTTCCTCAAGTCAAGATAAGACCAAAATGTTATCATGGCTCCGCCCTCTGACAAACAGGAGGCCCATACATTTCACTGCAAAATGGAAAAATGATCCGCAATCATTTTCATACATGTCGGTTGGAAATCTTCTCCTCAGCCGTTTCACAGATTCACCACAAAATCGCTCCACATCATCTCAACACATGTACCGTCAAAATGACCTCAGGGATTTTTGATCAGTGAAACGTTGTTTGAGCAGCGGAGCGGCAAAATGTGAGTTTTTATTGGCCGTTTTTCACAACATTCTATTGGCTCCCGTTTACACATACAAATTCCGATTTGCACAAAACTTGAATCCATGGTTCAACTCTAGGGTCTAGGTCATTTCAGAATCATTTCAGAATCAGAATCAGAATCATTTTTATTGCCACGTAAGTAACAGGAAGTCACAGACTTGGAAATTGCTTTGGCTCAGTGCAACAGTCAGAAAGAGATAATAAAAAATAAAGAATAAAAAACACTTCTAAGGAATAAAAATTATAAAATTTAAAATAGGGTTACAGTTACTATTTACAATATACAAGTGCACATGGTGCACACAATGTAAGGTGACAGGAGTACAGTGAAGTAAAGTGACGTATGATGGGCAGTAAAGTGACTTTATAAAGGGCGGGGGGACAGGTTAAGAAGTGTTCAAGAGTCAAACAACAGAGGGGAAGAAACTGTTCTTGTGGCGGGAGGTTCTAGTCCTGATGGACCGCAGTCTCCTGCTCTGAGGGGAGTGGTTGGAATAGTCCACACAGTAAAATCGCTAGAGTAAAATTTACTCAAATTGAGGAAAATTTAACTCCATTTTTGATAACATTTGGTCCCTCTCTAAAAAGAGTCAAATTAACTCTTTTGATAGAGTCGTTTAATCGGAGTAATTTCTCTTCAATTTAGAGTAAAAATTCTACTCTTTAATAGTAAAATTCACTCTCTGCAGAGAACATTTAAATTGACTCTTACTCTAGTTTTACTCTTGCGAGAGGAACTATAAATTTACTCCATGGTATTTTACTCCCTAAAAAGAGTTAACATTCCTCAATTCTGAGTAATTGTTTAATAGTACATTTCACTCTATATAGAGTAAATTTCAATTGACTCTCACTCTATTTTTTACTCTTACTTGAGGAACTATATATTTACTCCATAGTAATTTACTCCCTAAAAAGAACCCAATTTTGAGTGATAGTTTCTCCACAAGCTCCTAAAAATGTGAAATATGACAAAAAGATCAAACATTTTTTCACATACCCTTTTATTTGGCACCAAATACTTGCTCAATAGAAAATTCTCATTCCATTTGTGAACATGCACACTGTTGACACAGAAATCCAAATATTAGGGTTGATGCCTTTCTGTGATTCCGTGCAGATGATCTTGAATGCTGGTCCCAGTCTAGAAAATTAACAAGCATACGTTAATAATGAAGCCCTTCCAAAAAGTTAGAAAAAGCGAGGTGACCTTACCTTGAGAAACAGTGAGATGGTCACAGACATGTCTGGTGAAGTAGAAGAAGAAGACATGTCATTGACCCAGCCTGAAAAAGATCAAACGGAAGTCATCTACTGTGTTTGTGACACGATCCATTTTCACCAATATAAAAAAACTCACCTTCAACTTTAGAGGTGGACTCAGCTTTAATTCTTGATTGCAGACAATTGGCTAATTTTGTTGAAGTAGCATCATCAAGCATACTGTAAGTCTGAAGTCCTGCTCTATCTGTTTTATAACGAAAGACATAATGAAATGTTGATACAACATTAACAATATCAATATTTAAGGTGACTTACCAGTCCTGATATATCCAGAAATCTTGAAAACATTGTGAAGACCGAGAGATTTTTCAGGACCATATTTTGACGATAGTGACATGTCTGCTTCATCTTCTCTTTGACTATGGCTTCATCCATTGTGTGCTTCATGAGAGCAATTGCTTCACAGAATAGACTTTCTGCCAGCACAGATCAATCTTCCCCTTGAAGGTATCTCAGTTAGCATGCGGACCACCTATAGACAAATAAACATACAAATAATTTACCTTTTCCAACAGAATAACTCAACAGTCTTTAACTAACCTTTTGGTAATGGTGTCCTTTTGGGACCATAGGACACAGCCAGAAAAACGGTAATAGTGCTCCTGAAATAAAAACATAGTTTGACAACATGCCTGTGAATGACTCGGATACAAATGTTCAGAGGAGTTAAGTATCATACCAAGTTAGCTCTTTGGATCTGCCAAACAGAGATAACAAGGCAATAATTCCTCTGGCATATTCGTCTTTTACACGCCTTGAAGGACTTCTTTAAAATAATAGGTTATATTTTAGTTATGAAACAGTGAAACTTTCAAAATTAGCAATGTTTTACCATGTTCATTTGTCATATGCACAACCAAAATGTTGACCATATCACGTCTCCTGCTGTCTGTAAGGCTTTTGAGCATAATCGCTTAAGATTCCATCTCCTCCTGGTTTGTTCTTTGGGATGCTCTCAATCTGGAAACATAAAACAAAGTGTTTACAATGGTAACGATAAAATAACTTAATCAGCTACATAGTGTGGTGCATATATATATAACCATCAAGCTCACATGTGAGAGACGAACCTCCTCAGTTCTATGGACTGAAGCAGGTCTAAACTGCTATGATCGCGTCCTCAGAGTCAACCTCGGTATCTCCACTTTGGGGAGCTCAACCCATCTGCAACATAAAGTCATAGTTGTCAAAATAAAAACCTTAATATATGAAAATACAGCATTAAATTAATTAATTATTTAAAAAACACACACCCTTTGGTGAACAAACATCTAGCACACCCAAACGCTCCTTCTTGAGGAGAAATTCAAATACTTCATCAACCTCAGTCTTCGTCTCATCATAGACTTTGAAAGTTGGAATATCCATTTATTTTGCAACTGCAAAAACAAATGTATGTTTATGATTGTTTACAAGTATCAAGGCATTTCAGAGTGGAGTACAATGTAATATTATCAAAGCATTTTACTTTAGCTTCAGGGGCATTATAAAGATAATTACATATTTCCCACTTACTACATTTTAAGAATAACGCAAAACAAAGCTGCCCTTCATAGCAGATGTACTTCTGTGGATCGCTGCACATCACTTCAGCATTCATCTAAGGAGACATATAAAACAATTTTAGTACACACATGTGGTCACTGTTGTAACAGTAATAGTGTTTATGTGGCAAACATAGCTAAAACTGCATCCAAAGTCAACTACGCTGTCTGTAACAATGCTAACAACAATGCTAACAACAAAACTACTCAAGTTAGAGTCACCTCCATGTGCTGCGCTGTCTGTAACAATGCTAACAACAAAACTACTCATGTCAGAGTCACCTCCATGTGCTGCGCTGTCTGTAACAATGCTAACAACAATGCTAACAACAAAACTACTCATGTCAGAGTCACCTCCATGTGCTGCGCTGTCTGTAACAATGCTAACAACAATGCTAACAACAAAACTACTCATGTCAGAGTCACCTCCATGTGCTGCGCTGTCTGTAACAATGCTAACAACAAAACTACTCATGTCAGAGTCACCTCCATGTGCTGCGCTGTCTGTAACAATGCTAACAACAATGCTAACAACAAAACTACTCATGTCAGAGTCACCTCCATGTGCTGCGCTGTCTGTAACAATGCTAACAACAATGCTAACAACAAAACTACTCATGTCAGAGTCACCTCCATGTGCTGCGCTGTCTGTAACAATGCTAACAACAATGCTAACAACAAAACTACTCATGTCAGAGTCACCTCCATGTGCTGCGCTGTCTGTAACAATGCTAACAACAATGCTAACAACAAAACTACTCATGTCAGAGTCACCTCCATGTGCTGCGCTGTCTGTAACAATGCTAACAACAAAACTACTCATGTCAGAGTCACCTCCATGTGCTGCGCTGTCTGTAACAATGCTAACAACAATGCTAACAACAATGCTAACAACAATGCTAACGCGCCACCATAGCTCATTCCCAGTGTCAAATACTTGCCCATTCTAACCCATGAGAAACCATGCTAAAGCACCAAAGTAATACACGCGGTCGTCTGTCTACGTCACCGGAGCACAACAGGCGTTTTACAATAGAATGTATTCAGTGTATACAGATTGATTTGAATAAAGTAACACATACACACACTAAAAAATAGCTCAAAGAATGTGTTGCAGTGACGCAAAATTTGAGTAACTAATTAACATAAGTTTAACAAATTCTACATTTTGAATGTATATTAATCCATTACTAATAAACTCTGTACAACTCCAACCACATATGATTGCCAGAAGATGTATATCAGTATTTGTAACTTGTAACAGCACTAAGCTAGCAGCTTTCACAAGACACAACTGTGTTCCAAATGTACACCGCGATAACAGCATGGACTAAATGAAACTGAAAAAAGTGACAAACTTTAAATACGCATTTAGACTCACCTTGTATCCTTTTGACTATCCATGACGTAGTAAGAAATGAGTACATCCATGGTTTCCACACTCCGTCTGCTAGTGTCCAGCGAGAAACTGTCATGGCGGCGGTTCAGAAGCTCAAGACCTGAGTTTTGGGGGCGGGACATAGGGCGGGGCCTCATTTACTCCAATCGAGGAGATTCTGATCATCTCTGAAAAATCACTCGCACTCTAGAGGCCGCTAGAGGTTATTTTACTCTAAAATGTTTAAAAAGAACTCAATTGGAGGAAAAAAATAATGACTCTGGAAATTTTACTCAGCCGTTTTTGCTGTGCATGTGCAGGGTGAGAGGGGTCGGCTGTGATACGACGTACAGGTCCTGCAGCGATGGAAGGCTGCGGCCGATCACTTCCTCTGCAGAGCGCACAATGCGCTGTAGTCTCTGTTTGTCCCTGACTGTGGCTCCAGCGAACCACACGGTGATGGAGAAGGTGAGGATGGACTCGATGATGGCCGTGTAGAACTGCACCAACATCTGTGCAGGCAGCTTGGCTTTCCTGAGCTGCCGCAGGAAGTACATCCTCTGCTGGGCCTTCTTGATGAGGGAGCTGATGGTCGGCTCCCACTTGAGGTCCTGGGTGATGGTGGTGCCCAGGAAACGGAAGGACTCCACAGAGGAGATGGGGGAGTGTCACTCCCGTATTCGTCCCGGAAATCGGATTTGTCCGGAAGTTCAGTTTGTGCATGTCAAAATGTCCTAAAGTGGTGACTGGTTAAGTTTAGGTGTCTGATTAAGATGGTTAAGTTTAGGGTTAAGGGTGGGTTGGGGTTATTTTATGGGAATGGCTGGTTAAGTTTAGGCATGAATAGGTAGTTTTTTTATATTTACTTCCGCTTCCGTCCAGATTCCGTGACGTAATCTACTGCTGCGTATGCTCATTGGATCAAACTGAACTTCCGGACGAATACGGGAGTGACAGGGAGTCCATCACGGAGGGTGGGGGCAGGGGGACAGTGCTCTTCCTGAAGTCCACAATCATCTACACTGTCTTTGAAAGGGATTTTGGATCAGTGAAACGTTGTTTGAGCAGCGGAGCGGCAAAATGTGAGTTTTTATTGGCCGTTTTTCACAACATTCTATTTGCTCCCGTTTACACATACAAATTCCGATTTGCACAAAACTTGAATCCATGGTTCAACTCTAGGGTCTAGGTCATTTCAGAATCAGAATCAGAATATTTTTTATTGCCACATAGGTAACAGGAAGTCACAGACTTGGAAATTGCTTTGGCTCAGTGCAACAGTCAGAGTGATAATAAAAAATAAAGAAGATGTGTGTGTATGTGTGTGACTTTGTATATGTGTGACTGTGTCTGTGTATTTGTGTGTGTGACTGTATATGTGTGTGTGTGTGTGTGTGTGTGTGTGGTCCCTAGAGACTGGTGACCTCAGATCCCAGGTCATTGGAGCTGTGGCCTCATCGACCTCAGCTCCTCCTGAGGCTCCACACGTCACTCACGGCTCACGTAATTTTCATCAAGAAGAAATCTATAAACAACATGGTCCCTCTCTGGTCTCTCTGGTCCCTCTGGTCTCTCTGGTCACTCTCTGGTCTCTCTCTCTCTTTGGTCTTTCTCTCACCGGTCTCTCTCTCTCTCTGGTCTCTCCCTCTCTGGTCTCTCTCTCTCTCTCTGGTCTCTCTCTAAGCCCAAAATGGTGTGACAGTTACTGAGCTGGAGGAGCTTACTTTTACATGTAAGTCAAAAGGAACCCGAGTTGGAGCCAAACTTCGTCCATGAGCACTTCCCTATTGGACTTCATTGAGCTAGCATGTTAGCATGGTCCATCTGTAACAGTCTGAGGCAATGGCCCTGAGGAGTCACCAACGAGCATCTTATTCACAGAAACACTGAAGACTTGAACATATAAATAAGGTTTTTAATAATCAATACAATGTTCAGCAAATTAGCAACAATGCTAAAGCTGCAGAGATGCTAATGCTAAAGCAAAACTCCCACCCTCTTTTACAGAACTGTCTCACAGACCCTCAGAACCACGGACCCACGGACCCACAGACCCACAGACCCACGGACCTCAGACCCACAGACCCACGGACCTACGGACCCACAGACCCACGGACCTCAGACCCACGGACCCACAGACCATAGAACATAAACGTTTTAAGGCACGATGGAGGCAATATTATATGTGGGTCACAGTGTAAGTCACAGAGAGACCAGAGAGAGACCAGAGAGAGACCAGAGAGAGAGACCAGAGAGAGGGACCAGAGAGAGGGACCAGAGAGAGGGACCAGAGAGAGGGACCAGAGAGAGGGACCAGAGAGAGGGACCAGAGAGAGGGACCAGAGAGAGGGACCAGAGAGAGGGACCAGAGAGAGACCAGAGAGAGATCAGAGAGAGATCAGAGAGAGACCAGAGAGAGACCAGAGAGAGACCAGAGAGAGACCAGAGAGAGACCAGAGGGAGATATGTTTATGGCTTAGTTGTAGATTCAGGGATTTAAGTGAAAGAGGGGTTTTAACACATAATGTTTAAATACTGACATCAATATTGCTGCTCTATAAAACATGTATTGGTTTGACAGCACTAGTTAAAGCTCGGGTACCTAACTTTTCTTTTCTTTCATTAATACCAGTAGTTTGTCCAACAGGAAGAAAATATGAACAAATCAGATGACAACATTGTTGTCTTGTTTTAGAAACCAGAGAGAAACCAGACACCAGAGAGAGACCAGAGAGACCAGACAGAGAGACCAGAGAGAGACCAGAGACCAGAGAGAGAGACCAGAGAGAGACCAGAGGGAGACCAGAGAGAAAGACCAAAGAGAGACCAGAGAGACCAGAGAGAGAGACCAGAGACGCCAGAGACCAGAGAGAGACCAGAGAGAGACCAGAGACCAGAGACTAGAGACCAGAGAGAGACCAGAGAGAGACCAGAGAGAGACCAGAGAGAGACCAGAGAGAGACCAGAGAGAGACCAGAGAGAGACCAGAGAGAGAGACCAGAGAGACCAGAGAGAGACCAGAGAGACCAGACACTAGAGAAAGACCAGAGAGAGACCAGAAAGAGACCAAAGAGAGACCAGTAACACGTTTCAGTTTGACTCTCTCCTTCTTCAAGTGTCTTCATGGTCCTTCATGTGTCTTCATGGTCTTCATGGTCCTCTCGCCTCAGACCGAGCGCTCTGTAACAGTTGGTGTATTGCGGCTGCAGTGACCTGTGTCTGTCACACGAGGGCGCTGTCCTGCTCTCAGACCATATCTCTGACTGTAACAGGAGCCAGTCCAAACATCAGGTGGAGAAACCATGTTCGCTCTCACACCATGGAGCTGCTCTCCCCCACAGCGTCCACGTACTGCACAAAGGCACAAGGTTATTCGTATGGCAGAGAGAGAGACCAGAGAGAGACCAGAGAGAGACCAGAGAGAGACCAGAGAGAGACCAGAGAAAGAGACCAGAGAGAGACCAGCGACCAGAGAGACCAGAGAGAGACCAGCGACCAGAGAGACCAGAGAGACCAGAGAGAGACCAGAGAGAGAGACTAGAGAGAGACTAGAGAGAGACCAGAGAGAGAGACTAGAGAGAGACTAGAGAGAGACCAGAGAGAGACCAGAGAGAGACCAGGGAGAGGCAGGGACAGAGACCAGAGAGAGACCAGAGAGAGAGACCAGAGAGAGAGACCTGAGAGAGAGACCAGAGAAAGACCAGAGAGACACCAGAGAGAGAGACCAGAGAGAGACCAGGGAGAGACCAGGGAGAGACCAGGGAGAGATCAGGGAGAGACCAGAGAGAGACCAGAGAGAGACCAGAGAGAGAGACCAGAGAGAGAGACCAGAGAGAGACCAGAGAGATACCAGAGAGAGACCAGAGAGACCAGAGAGAGACTAGAGAGAGACTAGAGAGAGACTAGAGAGAGACCAGAGAGAGACCAGAGAGAGACCAGAGAGAGACCAGAGAGAGACCAGAGAGAGACCAGAGAGAGACCAGGATGGGTCAGGATGGGTGAGGATGGGTGGGGGTGGGTCAGGATGGTTCAGGATGGGTGAGGATGGGTTCACTCAGGCCTGTCACCATCATTCCCACTTATTATTATTATTCCAGATTTCTTTCCTTCTTTGATTTTGAGAATAGTTTTTGTGGACGGATCAGAGGACAGACGGGTCAAACGTGTCCTCAGTGGACAGATGGGTCAAATGTGTCCTCAGAGGACAGATGGGTCAAATGTGTCCTCAGAGGACAGACGGGTCAAATGTGTCCTCAGAGGACAGATGGGTCAAATGTGTCCTCAGAGGACAGACGGGTCAAATGTGTCCTCAGAGGACAGACGGGTCAAATGTGTCCTAGGAGGACAGACGGGTCAAATGTGTCCTCAGAGGACAGATGGGTCAAATGTGTCCTCAGAGGACAGATGGGTCAAATGTGTCCTCAGAGGACAGATGGGTCAAATGTAGGGCACTACAGAGAATGAGTCAGATTATGAAATAATATCGTTAGTAGAAAACACGAGGAGAGCCCAGCTTTAACGATGCTAACATGTCTGGGTCTTAGTCTGTTAGCTTTAGCCTGGACCCAGACTGGACCCAGACTGGACCCAGACTGGACCCAGACTGGACCCAGACCGGGTTTTGGTCCTGGTCTGAAAGTGACAGGCCCCAGAGTCTGAGACTGAAGAGAGATAGTCACCAGGGACGAGGAGACAGCATCACACTCCTGTGCTCTGACACACACACAGACACACACACACACACAGAGAGACACACACACAAACAGAGACACACAGAAAACAGACAGAGACACAGACACACACACACAGAGAGAGAGAGACACACACACACACACACACACACACACACACACACACACACACACACACACACACACACACACACACACACACACACACACACACACACACACACACACACACACACACACACACACACACACACACACACACACACACACACACACACACACACAAACGTTAATCATGGTTAAGCATTTTCTCATCAGGACATCTGACTGTCCTTCTGTCAGAGGAGAGAGAGAGACCAGAGGGAGAGACCAGAGAGAGACCAGAGAGGAGACCAGAGAGAGAGACCAGAGAGAATCCAGAGAGAGAGACCAGAGAGAGAGACCAGAGAGAGAGACCAGGGGAGATTACATAAGCTCTATGTGTCAGAGCAGTAGATCTGGTGCAGAAGCAGGTTTTTGAACATTTTTAACATTAAAAAAAACACATGGACAGGCTTCATAGAACAGAGAAGGAAGAGGAGGAGGAAGAAGAGGAGGAGGAAGAGGAGGTCCTCACCGAGCGGATGAAGGGCAGGTTGAGCAGAGCGCCGAGCACCGGGATCCTCCTGATGAAGCCCACCACGACTGGGAAGAACCCCCTGGTCCCACAGAAACACACGTCAAAGTATGAACGCACACACACCAAAGTATGAACGCACACACACCAAAGTATGAACGCAGACGCGCACACACACCAAAGTATGAACGCAGACGCACACACACCAAAGTACGAAAGCAGACGCACACACCAAAGTATGAACGCAGACGCACACACACCAAAGTATGAAAGCAGCAGACGCACACACACCAAAGTATGAACGCAAACGCACACACACCAACACATTACATTTTACTCATGGTGCATGTTCTGTGTGATGGGGGAAACCGGAGCGCCTGGTGGAAACCCACACAGACACAGGGAGAACACGCAAACTCCACACACTGCACGGGTCACAGTGGCCTATCCAGGAGGCAGCGTTGTCATGACAGCAGGTTAGCATTGTAGCATTGTTAGCTTTGTCTGGTGGACTAATGTGTTAGCCCCAATATGGAAGGGGCTTATTTAAACATAAGATAGCTTTGTGAACCAGAGAGAGAGACCAGAGGAAGAGAGAACAGAGAGAGAGACCAGAGGGAGAGACTAGAGAGAGAGACCAGAGGGAGAGAGACCAGAGAGAGACCAGAGAGAGAGACCAGAGAGAGAGACCAGAGGGAGAGAGACCAGAGAGACCAAAGGGATAGACCAGATAAAGAGACCAGAGGGAGAGACCAGAAAGAGAGAGACCAGAGAGAGAGACCAGAGAGAGATGGAAGAGGTTGACTTGAACATACAGTAAGCTAGCTGGAGCCAAAGTCTTTATATGGGCGTTTGTTACGACAGAGTTCCCTAACGCCGTGACAGAGGCGGATGCAAACGAACATGTTGTTTACATGGTTGCTAAGGCAAATGAAGGCCTCTGATTGGTCAATCGTCATGGCTCCTATCAGCATCACATTAAACTACACACAGTAGAATCAGCAGGATCACGAGAGCACATGTTTATGTCCAGAACGGCTGCTGAGCTGGAGGAGTTTACTTTTACGTATTGTCAGTAGGAGCCAGAGCTAGCGGGTTAGCATTGTGTGTGTCCAGTCTGTGAACCTGAAGAGGAGGAAGAAGCCGTAAGTCTCCAGCAGCACGCCGACGATGGGCCAACCAATCAGCACGATCAGGACGCCCCCCAGGAAGAAGCTGCTGGCCTTCAGCTTGTGTCGCTGGAAGAAGAAGCGGAACGTTCTCTCCAGACCGATGACGAAGGCCAGGCCCACCACGAACAGCACCTGTGACATCACACACGTGACCTCACACACGTGACCTCACACACGTGACCTCACACACATGACAGCACACACGTGACATCTCACACGTGACATCACACACGTGACATCACACACGTGACCTCACACACGTGACCTCACACACGTGACCTCACACACGTGACCTCACACACGTGACCTCACACACATGACAGCACACACGTGACATCACACACGTGACACCACACATGTGACACCACACATGTGACATTTCACACGTGTCATCACACACGGGTCAAAACAGAGGGGACAATTGGTCTCTCCCTCTGGTCTCTCCCTCTGGTCTCTCCCTCTGGTCTCTCCCTCTGGTCTCTCCCTCTGGTCTCTCCCTCTGGTCTCTCCCTCTGGTCTCTCCCTCTGGTCTCTCCCTCTGGTCTCCCCCTCTGGTCTCCCCCTCTGGTCTCTTCCTCTCCCTCTGGTTTCGCCCACTCACATTGCCGATGGCCAGAAGAGCTTTGTCAAAAAACAGAATCATCCCGAAGAAGAGGAAGAAGACTCCAAATCCCGTCAGCCCCATCCCGATCTCTGCAACACACTCTGCTGTTATTATGTAATAACGGCTTATTAAACGAGTGCGAGGTCTGTACAGAGAAATATCAGACTGAGGTCTTTTTGTACAGACCGAGCCGTGGCAAGGTTAATAAATGTTTTATTCTATGACTATTTTTAATTTGTGCAAAAATCGATCGGTTTCAACTAACGCTAGCAAAAACACATGCGTGACGTGAAGAACTTATCAGATGATTGAGGCGCCCGTTGTAAGTTCTCAGTCTGTGTCTTTACCAAAGCTTTTTACATATTTGTGATGTTCATGTCCGACTTGGTTTTCCTAATCCTGTTTTTACCTTTCTGGTCTGTAAACAAAGTTGTCAATCTCTTCTTGACTGTTAGGAGTTTTGTTTTCGTCGTTATTTGTTCTTACTATTTCTTCTGGCTCTTCCAACTCGTCTGGATAATAGAATTCACGGAGAATGCTCCCAGTCGCTCATTATTTATTTTTTACCAAGGAAAGATATAAAATCTGATACGCGCTGCGGACCAATTGTCATGGTAACGGTCCAAGATGGGAAAATATCAGGCCGCAAATCAGCCAATCAGAGCGCGCGTACGATCCAAGTCATATATTAATAGTTATTATTGTGTAATAGTAGTCCAGGGGAAGTTCTGCGATTGTGTGCTATACAAATAAACATGTCCTAGGTCACAGATTCTCCTCACGGCCAATCAGGTCTCTCTCTCTGGTCTCTCTCTGGTCTCTCTCTGGTCTCTCTCAGGACTCTCTCTCAGGTCTCTCTCTCAGGTCTCTCTCTCTCAGGTCTCTCTCTCTCAGGTCTCTCTCTCTCAGGTCTCTCTCTCTCAGGTCTCTCTCTGGTCTCTCTCAGGTCTCTTTCTCTCTTTCTAACTTGAAAAAACAAACAGAACCATCTCATCCTTAACCATGTGTTGGTAAATCTCTCATACACTGTGAGGTGTAAAAAATAAATAACATCGTAATAGCAGAAAAAATATCTAAAATAACATTTCTTTTGTAATATTTTTGAAACATTAAACAAATCCTATAACTGCCCCAGACTTTCCCTCCACAAACACCTCCGTCTCTTACTCTGCGAATCCGTGAGCGAAATCATCTTGGCGTCCGCGGGCAGACACACACTCAAACACGGGTTAAAGATCACAGATTTGGGGCTAAAATCTCACGTTTCTGTCATTTTATCACATCTGTCAGAGCGCGGCGGCCATGACAGCCACGTCTTCCGGATACACCGGTGACGTAGACTGCGCGGTGACGTGCCTCTATAATCTTGGCATTTCATCCCAGGACAAGCTACACACTCAACCTCAACCAAATGAGTTGTTTCTAACCATAAGTGTATCGTTATAATTCGTGACAAATCCAACTAAATTAACTCCAACATAAAGTGGTAATTTATCTCTGCTCAGAGCGAAATGCTAAGATTATAGTGTGTTTGGCGCATGCGCGGTCCGATCCCATGCGTTTGGACCAAAGTAGAAACAAAACAGAGGAGCGCGAACTGCACAATGAGACACTAAAGCATCACTAAACAGATATTTATGTGTGTTTGTGTGAGAGGATTACGCCACAAAGAGCATGGTGCTGTTCAGAGCAACGTAACTTACATTCAGTGAGTTTAAAGCCATGGCCGGAGGAGATGGTAAGAGTACTATATTGTTACTTTATATGGGTAATATACTGTGAACTTGTGTTGTTGTGTACTCCTTATAAAAGGGTTAGCGTTAGGGTTATGGTTGACCCTGGTTATTCTCTTCTCCACAAGTTTGATTTCCATTGATTTTTGCTGCATTCCAGGTCTGTAATCATGGACCAATTTACTCTCTCTGGTCTCTCTCTCTAGTCTCTCTGGTCTCTCTCGCTGGTCTCTCTCTGGTCTCTCTCTGGTCTCTCTCTCTGGTCTCTCTCTCTCTGGTCTCTCAGGTCTCTCTCTGGTCTCTCTCTCTGGTCTCTCTGGTCTCTCTCTGGTCTCTCTCTCTGGTCTTTCAGGTCTCTCTCTCTGGTCTCTCTCTCTGGTCTCTCAGGTCTCTCTCTCTGGTCTCTCTCTCTGGTCTTTCTCTCAGGTCTCTCTCTTGTCTCTCTCTCTGGTCTCTCAGGTCTCTCTCTCTGGTCTCTCTCTCTCTCTCTCTCTGTCTCTCTCTGGTCTCTCAGGTCTCTCTCTCTCTGGTCTTTCTCTGGTCTCTCTCTCTGGTCTCTCTCTCTGGTCTCTCTCTCTGGTCTCTCTCTCTGGTCTCCCTATCTGGTCTCTCAGGTCTCTCTCTCTGGTCTCGCTCTCTGGTCTCTCAGGTCTCACTCTGGTCTCACTCTGGTCTCTCTCTGGTCTCTCTCTGGTCTCTCGCTGGTCTCTCTCAGGTCTCTTGCGCTGGTCTCTCTCTCTGGTCTCTCTCAGGTCTCTCTCTCTCTGGTCTCTCTCTCTGGTCTCTCTCTCTGGTCTCTCTCTCTGGTCTCTCTCTGGTCTCTCTCTCTGGTCTCTCAGGTCTCTCTCTCTCTGGTCTCTCTCTCTGGTCTCTCTCTCTGGTCTCTCTCTCTGGTCCCTCTCTGGTTTCTCAGGTCTCTCTCTCTGGTCTCTCTCTAGTCTCTCAGGTCTCTCTCTCTTGTCTCTCTCTCTGGTCTCTCTCTCTGGTCCCTCTCTGGTGTCTCTCTCTCTGGTCTCTCTCTCTCTGGTCTCTCTCTGGTCTCTCAGGTCTCTTCTCTCTCTGGTCTCTCTCTGGTCTCTCTCTCTGGTCTCTCTCTGGTCTCTCTCTCTGGTCTCTCAGGTCTCTCTCTCTCTGGTCTCTCTCTCTGGTCTCTCTCTCTGGTCCCTCTCTGGTTTCTCAGGTCTCTCTCTCTGGTCTCTCTCTAGTCTCTCAGGTCTCTCTCTCTCTTGTCTCTCTCTCTGGTCTCTCTCTGGTCTCTCAGGTCTCTCTCTCTGGTCTCTCTCTCTGGTCTCTCTCTCTGGTCCCTCTCAGGTCTCTCTCTCTCTGGTCTCTCTCTCTGGTCTCTCTCTCTGGTCTCTCTCTCTCTCTCTGGTCTCTCTCTGGTCTCTCTCTGGTTTCTCAGGTCTCTCTCTCTGGTCTCTCTCTCTGGTCTCTCAGGTCTCTCTCTCTGGTCTCTCTCTCTGGTCCCTCTGGTGTCTCTCTCTCTGGTCTCTCTCTGGTCTCTCTCTGGTCTCTCTCTCAGGTCTCTCTCTCTGGTCTCTCTCTCTGGTCCCTCTCTGGTGTCTCTCTCTGGTCTCTCTCTCTGGTCTCTCTCTGGTCTCTCTCTCTGGTCTATCTCTGGTCTCTCTCTGTGGTCTCTCTGGTCTCTCTCTCTGGTCTCTCTCTGGTCACTCTCTGGTCACTGTCTTTGGACGGTCTCTCTGGTCTATCTATAGATCAGGCTAAAGATCCAGGACTGAGGCTGTAGACCCAGGACTGAGGGTCTACAGTGTATATTGTGTACAGTGTGTATAGTGTGTTTGTGTGTTGCAGATGTGTATACTGTGAGTATTCGGCCCCCTTGAACCTTTCAACATTTCGCCACATTTCCGGCTTCAAACATAAAGATATTAAAAAAAATATTTTTTGTCAAGAATCAACAACAAGTGGGACACAATCGTGAAGTGGAACAAAATTTATTGGATAATTTAAACTTTTTTAACAAATAAAAAACTGAAAAGTGGGGCGTGCAATATTTTTTTTATTCGGCCCCCTTGCGCTAATACTTTGTAGCGCCACCTTTTGCTGCAATTACAGCTGCAAGTCGCTTGGGGTATGTCTATCAGTTTTGCACATCGAGAGACTGGAATTCTTGCCCATTCTTCCTTGCAAAACAGCTCGAGCTCAGTGAGGTTGGATGGAGAGCGTTTGTGAACAGCAGTCTTCAGCTCTTTCCACAGATTCTTGATTGGAATCAGGTCTGGACTTTGACTTGGCCATTCTAACACCTGGATACGTCTATTTGTGAACCATTCCATTGTAGATTTGGCTTTATGTTTTGGATCATTGTCCTGTTGGAAGATAAATTTCCGTCCCAGTCTCAGGTCTTTTGCAGACTCCAACAGGTTTTCTTCCAGAATGGTCCTGTATTTGGCTCCATCCATCTTCCCATCAATTTTAGCCATCTTCCCTGTCCCTGCTGAAGAAAAGCAGGCCCAAACCATGATGCTGCCACCACCATGTTTAAATGAGCCACGTACATTTGTTCTTTTTGTTATTGTTAGCTGGCAAATATTAAGTATCGCATTCAGCAGCTGGTAGCAATCTAACTACGCTTGCAACTCTATTCATTTCTTACGTTTTCTTATAAACTGTAAACCTGCCATATGTTAATTAAATACATTTACTTTGCTAATGCAGTCAATTATTGTGAATCCATAGAGGTAATAATTTCATGATTGTGGCAATAACCCTAATGTTCTGAGATTATTCCAATGTGTCATGTGTGTTGAGTCTTACAGGTGTCAGACTGTGTTGAAGGTGTTCAAGGTAAGAATAAGCACTCTCACACATTGATTGTTCTTCTGTATTATTATGTTGTTTTTAGAATAAACCATTATTGGTGTTTTTCTCTTTGAAAACATCTTTTTCTCAATTGTTCACAACTCTCTCAATATGATGGAAGAAGAGCAACAAGTGGGAAAATGCCCCCTCGGAAATGAGCAACATGTGTACGATAAATTTACAGGGTAAGTAGCTTTCAGGGCTCATGTGTGTCCATGTGCAAAACATATGCACATTTGCAATTGGTTGTTTTACATGGAATTATCCATGACCAAAGCCTTATCCCAAGTTTCTCAGACAAGAGTCCCTTCCGTGTCTCAAGCGAGTGCAGTGCCAAGGGTTTTGTATCACATGGTTGATGGATCGAGGGGGTTTGAGGCATTATAGAAAGTTATGTTTGTTATATCACTTTCTGCCACATTATGTTGAAACTAAACATGTTCACATTTTTCAGGTGCTGTGTTGGACCTTGTGATGAGAGACTGGAAGACCAAGAGAGGACACATGTTGGAACACCTCCAACATTCAAATAACTGCATCTTCTGCTTTCAGAAAGTGTGTTTTACATCTGGGGAACCTCGAGTGTAGCGTGGTAGCCTGTTTTAATACTGATCCAAACATAGTGATACAATCATTTTTTTTACTTTGGCATATAACGTTCATACAGTAGTTTCTTAAAACAGGTGCCCTGTTTCTTTAACTTGTACTTTGATGTAGAGAAACAATGATTTTTAATCCGCTTCCCATTTGGCAAGAATACTGATATCCTTCTACTACAGTTGTTCTAAGGTTTTTTTGTATGCGGGGTTTTATGTTTATTGCCCAAGTAGAACTAAACATGATAAAGCTGCATTTCAGATTACACAAGGCTAAAATCGGGAACGTCCTTCCTGGAAAATGTAGACAGGCTTTCCTTCTTGTCAATGTTAAATATCCAGGTTTAAAACACTTCTGTTTCGGCTTCAAATGAAGATTATAAGAGAGATTTTTAATTTTTTTATCCTTTTTAATTTACTGTCAATATTTATAATTGTAATGCCTTGTTGATTGTTTCGATCTTTGTTTCAGTGCTTTGAGTTTTCCTTTTGTTTTGACGTGCTATACAAATAAACTTGCCTTGCCCTATTGCAAAAAGTAGTCTCGACCAGTAAGTGATTCTGCAGAGGTTAAGTAGGTCTATAGAACTGAAATGGACGTCATATAAACGGCAATATTTGGTCATATAAGACGTCGAGAGGACTCGGACCCGACCGTTCCGTACCACATTGCAAACCTTGAATGAACGGGGCCGCGACGTCATTTGGGGGAAAAAACCGTCCAGATAACGGTCCAGATGACGTTTGAAAGGACAGTGTTTTGACATCTGGCTTGCTTAGTGGGAACAACGGAAAACGAACGTCATATAGATGGCAAATATTTTGGTCCATATAATACGTTGATAGGACGTCGGACACCGACCGGTTCTGTACCACAGTTGCAACCTTGAATGAACGTCCAGATGACTTGAAATTACGTTTTTTGACATCTGCTTGCTTAGTGGGAAACGGACTGAAAACAACGATCATATAAACGTCAATATTGTGGTCCTATGAGCCTTGATCAGGACGTCAGACCCACCGTTCCGTAGGGGCGCACA